AGTCAAAACCATAGATTATGATAATTAAAATAAAGAAAGTCAAAACCCTAACTTATTTAAATAAATTAATCAACCACAATAATATACTAATTTGGGTCCACATTAGTTCACAAATCAAGAAAAAGTAGGCAAATAGATGAGGTATAAAGGTAAACCAATAATTTAACAAGAAGGTGATCTAAGAGAACTAACACTTACAATAACACACCAGGGAGAGTTCGAGAGGGAGAGGCCGAGAGGGAGAGGCCGAGAGGGAGAGCCGAGAGGGAGAGCCGAGAGGGAGAGGCCGTGGGAGTTGGGACTGTCGCCGTTGTCACCGTCGGACTGTCACCACTCACCGTCGCCGACGGCCTGTCGAAAAGGAGAGAGGAGAGCAGCAGGCAGCAGCGTCGTGGTGGAGAGGAGAGCAGCAGGCAGCAGYGTCGTGGTGGAGAGGAGAGCAGCAGGCAGCGTGACTGGTGCGTGTCGTCACTGTCGTGCGTGGAGCCGTGGACATGGAGGTCTTGGAGGGAAAATAAAAGTGTGGTGTGGATTGGGCTGAGGAAGGAAGGAAGGGAAAATAAAAGCCGTGGACAGGGATGCATTCATAAATCATAACATATTTTACAATAAAAGCCCAAAGTCAAAAGCCCAAATTCCTATAAAACACATATATATATAAATAACGGGTACGGGGCGGGGCGGGGAGTGCTATACCCGTCCCCGTCCCCGTCCCCATCCCCGGATTGCGCCAAGCGGGGATCCCCGTCCCCGTCCCCGGGACCCGATTTTTCGGGGATTCCCCGTCCCCGATCGGGGTGGGTGGACCGGGTTACCCGACGGGTCGGGGTCCATTACCATCCCTAATGATGATTTTAAAGACTTTAATTGGTGTGAGTTAACACTTGATGAAACTAACAAATAATAAAAGAAATCCAGGGTGTAAGACTTAGAGTGAGATGTAAATACAATTTCAGTAGACCAATGCTGTCAAAATCCTACAAAACAACTATTTTCACCATTCATTTTGAGGGTATTTTCTCTCGGAATTCACCATTGCAATGATATTATAGCCTTTAATACATATCTCTATGTGGTATCCGAACTAGTAAAAGTGACAAATGGTATCGTCAAAATATAGATAAACAAATATCTTTGTTACAAATCACTCTTTCGAACGAATTTCCATATCATTCAAGTTGACGTGATCCTAATATTTCAAGTAATATAATATAACAAAAAAGTTAGAAAATAGATGGGAAGTGATAGTTTGAGCATCAAGTTTTCTAATGAGTTTGGGGAGGATGCTAAAAAATGGATGTATGGATTGGTCGAACGTTAGAGATTGTTGTGAAAAATTCTTGTCTTTTATATGGTAAAATGTATGAAATTTATTGCTTTGAGATTTTTGTATTGTTTTTATTGATTGATATTATTATTTATAATATATATATATATAAATACAGAGCTGAAATATGGTTGAAGGAAAATAATATGCTCTTTAGAGAAGGAATCGATGTTTTAAAAGTGCATCTAAAGATAACCCTTAGAGAAAGTTTTGATTATTTGTATCTAAAGATAACCTTTAGAGAAGGTTTTCAAAGTATAACTTAAGGACATCTTTAAAGAAAGGTAAAATGCACTAAAGACATTACCTTTAGAGAAACTTTTTTGTAAACCTTCTCTGAAAGTATTTTTTGGAGACGTTTCTAAGCCGTCACAAACACTTAAAAACGTCACTAATAAATACTTCTAGAGAAGTTTTTTGAAAAAAGTTGACTCACCTTTAGAAAAGTTATGTAAAGCCTCCTAAAAAAATGTCTCTAAAAGCTAACAAAAACGCACCCTCCGAAAACCTTCCCTAAAACCTTTACCTTTAGAAAAGCTTTTAGTACTTTTAAAGTTAAAACAAATCCTTCTCTAAACCGCTTTTATCTTGTAGTGTTATATATATAAGGACTAAAAATAGATTGATGGTAGAAATAGATGGATCGTCAAAAAGGGTTTGAAAGGATAAGCCGTGAGACATGGAGGAGACCCAGTCAACCTTGTCGGCTGGAGGTTAAGGAGGATAGCGTACTCTTCTATTGTTTAGTTTAAATGTCTCTCTTTTTCCCATACCAAAATCAGAAGTGAAATCAGTTAGGGTCTAGCAAGAAGAAAATTACGGGTTTGAAGGGCTCGACTCAAGCTCGGTGCAGAAAGTTTTGGAGACTCAAGCGGTGGTTTCGGTAAGTCAACCTTTCTCATTTTCGTTTAGTCTTTTTGGTCGTGACCCTATTCCTTTTAGCGATGTGATGCGTTTATTCGTGTTTGAATGGGTTTTGGGTTAGTGTCGAGGAGATTGAATGGGATGGGAAGGTGGTCGTGGCCACCGTTTCTGTCTGATACAAGTGCTGGACCCCTTTCCGGTGTGGCCTCCACCCTGCCCGGATCGAGTTTGGACAGCAGAGGGGTCTAACACTTTAAGTCCAATAAATGGCCTCGTTTTAATATACGACTTGTGTGTTATTATATGCCTCTGAGTAGGTGCTATTATAACCACATAAATATAAATACATATATATGTATATTGATAGATCACCATTGGAAGAGCTTCAGACAACCCTCAAGTCCCTACTAAATTAACATGGAAGAGAAGTCTGGAGTTGTGGTGGTGGTGGTGCCTTTTGTCGCACAAGGTCATCTCAACCAACTCCTCCACCTCTCTCGTCTTCTTTCTGCCTACAATCTACCCATCCATATTGTCGGCACCACCACCCACAACCGTCAAGCAAAGCTTCGAGTCCATGGTTGGGATCCCATCTCCGCAGCAAACATCCATTACCATGAGTATCAAACACCCCAATTCGAATCTCCGCCACCAGACCCTAATGCTTCCACAAAGTTCCCCACCCACCTTATCGCTTCATTCAAAGCTTCATCTCACCTACGTGAACCATTTGCACAACTTTTGGCCACAATTTCTCCCACTGCCAGGCGAGTCATCGTTGTTCATGATTATCTAATGAGCATAGTTGTTCAAGATGTGGTTTCATTTGAAAACACAGAAGCCTATGTCTTCCATGGTGCTTCGGCTTTTACGACATTCTCATACATATGGGAAGGGAAAGGAAAGCCATGCTTAGATGATGTTGAATCCTATATGCATCTTAGGAAGATCCCTACTCTTGAAGGCGTTATACCTGCAGATTTCTTGGAAAGAGCTGTGGCTAATAATGTTTGCCACAAGTTTAATTCGGGCAATCTCTATGATGCATGTAAAGTCATCGACCACAAATTCCTCGATTTTCTTGCTGAAGAAGGAGTTTGTGGAAGTTCAAAGCAGTGGGCAATGGGTCCTTTCAATCCAGTGGCCATAATCGATGATGAAAACCCTAGCAAACGTCACAAGGTGCTAGAGTGGATCGATAAACAAGCTAAAGACTCTGTGATATACGTTTCATTTGGGACGACGACTTCACTATCTGATGAACAAATCCAAGAACTTGCTATTGGCTTAGAGAACAGTGAGCAGAACTTCATCTGGGTGTTACGAGATGCAGATAAAGGAGATATCTTTGAAGGAGAAGTCAGGAGAATTGAACTACCAAAAGGGTTTGAAGGAAGAGTTGAAGAAAGAGGACTGGTGGTTCGAGAATGGGCACCACAATTAGAGATACTGGCTCACCCTGCAACAGGTGGGTTCATGACTCACTGTGGTTGGAATTCGAGTATGGAGAGCATCACAATGGGAATTCCCATGGCTGCTTGGCCAATGCATTCGGACCAACCAAGAAATGCTACGTTAATAACAGAGGTGATAAAGACCGGCATAAGTGTAAGAGATGGGGAGGATAATGAGATCATATCATCTTCAGGTATTGAAAAAAGTATCAGAAAATTGATGGGTTCAGATGAGATGAGGAAGAGAGCTGGTAAACTTGGTGAGGATGTTAGGCGATCTGTAGAAGAAGGTGGAGTTACACGAATGGAGATGGATTCATTTGTTGCTCACATAACTAGGTAATTAATATCATTACTTTTGCTAAACGATTGTCGTTTGTGCGTTATATTACGTAAGTGATGTATGAAAACAAGGAGAATCTTATTACAGTCGCACTCATAAGCATATGCATGTGTCTGACTATATAAAAATAAGAAAACGCAAGCCTCCGGGTAAATTATTGCATACGATGTCGTTTTGGTGGACTAAAATCTTACATGGTAGGTAAATAATAGAATTAAATTTTACCGGTAATCACTTACCAGATAAGTGTTTGGTAAATGACCCCTTAGTTTTCGTTTATTTTCTACTTCTATAATTAAGTGCAACACCTGCAAAGTGAATATCAGAAAAAGTATTTTGCTCAGATCATTAAATTGATCGCGTTAGTTTGGTTTCAAAGCGGTTTCCGTTGCTGATTTTTGACGAAGGAGACCCGCAATAAAACAAATGCTCTATATCACGTAGTACAATAGAGAGGGCAATTTTAGACGGAAAATTTCGCTGAAAATTGATAGGAAATATGGATCTTCGCCGGATTTTCAATGGAAATCCCTGTCGGAAACATTTTGGTCGAAAATGTGGGTTTGCAAAGATTTTCGATGGAAACATACGTATAATATATGTTATGTTATGTCTCACATATGATTCATTTCGAAAATTTTATACATATCTCATGATAAGATAATGGTAAAATATATGAATGCAATATCAATGATCAAATGAGATATATCATATGTGGATAATATCAAAAATTATATGAGATAATGTGGGTGTGGGAGAGATTTTCAAAGGAACAGATCCGTTGAAAAAACTATGAATATTCGAAGCGATTTTCGACAATCTATAATTCGTAGAATTATTGATGGAATTTCTAGGGTATTTTTTATGGGATTCTCAGCAGATTGTAATCTTCGAGAGATTTTCGACGGATTTAATCAATATGTTGTTTCATAGTGTAAAAAAAATACTATGTTGTTTCAATGTAAAGGTGTTGTCTTTCACGATGTGAAACAACACTTTAGTGTTTCACGTTAATGAAAGTGAAACAACACAATGTTGTTTCACAAAGTGAAACGATATATGCATTGATTCACAACATGAAACAAAATTTCAACATTAACCCAATATTATCCATCTAATTATTTTAATCCAATGGCTTCAGACGTGTAAAGATGAGAATCGAGTGTGACGGATGAGTTACGATAATCGCGCATAGAGATGTGTTTCCCCTTTATTACTAAGTAGATGCATAATGCATTCTTTCACTTGCAAATGTCCACATCAAATTTTTATTCATCTTTTTAATCATTACTTTTTATAAAGAGGATTAAAGTAAAAAATCAATGAGTTCATTTGGTCGAAATCTATACTATTTTATTAAGTAAATTTAATAAAAGTCTTAAAAATTTTAAAATACTAAATGACCAAAATACACTTATCTATACTACCCTTACGTCACTTTTTCACTCACTCATCTCCTCACATACACTCACCCTCTATCGTTAATTAACATACATAATCGTATATCAATTAAAACATGTTTAAAAAATACATTTTTATTTTAACAAGTTACACCATTATAATCGTCTCATTAATATCTTCGAAATGAGTCCAATATTGAATAGTTTTTGACTTAATTATATTATTATATATTATATATACTGTGAAAAAATATTTTTAATATTTACGATTTATAATTTTATAATTATTTATTTAATTTATGATACATCATTTATTTTTATACCATTATCACATTAAAATACATTAGCTAAAATACGTTATAAAATACATTATACTTAATTTATTTATTTTTAAAATTTATTTTTACACTTTTATCTCATTAACATACATAAACGTATATTAGCTCAAATACGTTAAAAATACATTTTTTAACAAATTACACCATTATAATCGTCTCGTTAATCTCTTCGAAATGAACTCAATAATGAATATTATTTGATTAAATTATATTATTATAATCATATTTTCAATACCTTTGAAATGAACACAATATTGAATATTTTTGGATTTAATTATATTATTATCTATCATATATAGTACGAAAAATATATTTTTAATACTTACATTATATACTCTTGTAGTTGATTATTTAACTTTTTAGTATATCCTTAACTTTTTCATTTTTCATTCTCCATTTTCATTTTACATTCTTATCACATTAATATACATGATTGTATATTTAATAAAATATGTTAACAAAATACGTTTTTATTTTAACAAATTACACCATTATATTCGTCTTGTGAATACCTTCAAATGAGCTCAGTATTGAATATTTTTGGTTAATCATATTATTAAATACCATAACTACATAAATTATTTTTAATACTTACATTTTATACATTTACAGTTATTTATTTAATTTATTTTATATACATTACTTTTTCATTTTTCGTTGTATGCCCTTATCACATTAACATACATAATTGTATATTAACTAAAATCCATTAAAAATATGTTTTTATTTTAATAAGTTACATCATTGTAATCGTCTCGTCAATACCTTCAAAATGAACCTAATATTTAACATTGTTTTATTTAATTATGAAACTGTAATTATATAAATATCATAAGGGTATAAAATAAAAATAAAGACATTTCTTTTCCTTTCTAGCCTGCTATATGGCCCTAATTAGATTTTTGGGATTAAGCTGTCCAAATTATACATACTGTATAATATGTTCTGAATTAATATGTTCTTGGGTTTTTTTGAAATATATATATATATATATATATATATATATATACTTGAGATCAAAGGTTTTTCGTGAGACCCGTAAGACCAATTCTCAGCTCTTGGATTAGATCTACAATTTGAACATTCATAATCACAAAATTGCCATTAGACTTCTCAATAATCACAAAATTGCAACCGTTCAACTTTAGGCCATTAGATCATTAGCTTATAAATTTGATCAATGAACATAAATTACTCTTACGGATCTCACGAAAAACTCTGGGTCTCACATGAACCCAACCCTATATATATATATATATATATATATATATAGGAGCGATCAAATGAAAACCGTCTCCATTTGTGTAAACCAATCTCATCCATCCATTTTCTTGATCGATGGTCAAGTTTATTTTAGAAAATTAAAAAAGATATATATTAAAATTTTATTTTTAACAACAATAAGGGCAAAATTGTAAATAAAATACATATTCTCTAACATCCCATGAACCAGTTTCACCTTCATGAAACATGTTTCATATACATTAATTTTTTTATTTCACTCTTGATTTGATGAATTCATTTCTTTAAGCCTTACAATCTTCAATATTCCGGAGCAGATTACAATCTTCAAGATTTTGGAGCAGATTCATCATGTACACGTTTTATCATGCAATTATTTCATGACGAACCAAATACATTATGCACCCGTTTCACTACTCATTGTTCAATTATGTCATGAACCAGTTTCACCTTCATGAAACATGTTTCATGTAAATTAATTTTCTTGTTTCAATCCTGATTTGATGAATTCATTCCTTTAAGCCTTACAATCTTCAAGATTCTGGAGCAGATTACAATCTTCAAGATTCTGGAGCAGATTCATCATGTACCTGTTTCATCATGCAATTATTTCATGACGAACCAAATACATTATGCACCCGTTTCATTACTAAATGAATCAACTACACCATCAATGAAACGAGGTTCACCATGAAACCAGTTCACTACTCATTATTCAATTACGACATGAACCAGTTTCACCTTCATGAAACCTGTTTCATGTATATTAATTTTTTTTATTTCAATCCTGATTTGATGAATATACTCAATTATGCCTTACAATCTTCAAGATTCACCAGCAGATTTTATCGCATCACAATATATCAAGTTCAAGTTTTTAATATTATAATGTAGTTAAATATTTAAATGTTACCATTTATAAAATTTTCTTTATTACGTTTTTTTAATTAAGATTTATTAATATTTTCCATATTTAATAGAAAATATTGTAAATGACTGAAATATCCTTATTGATTAAATTTAATTAGAAAAATGGAATTTTTCTATTGGTCGAAATTAGTTTACACGGTTTCTTAGAAATGCACGGTTTTCATTTGAACGTGCCTATATATATATATATACTTGGGATCATGTGAGACCAAGGATTTTTCGTGAGACCCGTAAGATCAATTCTCAACCCTTGGATTAGATCTACAATTTGAAAATTCATAATCACAGAATTGCCACGAGGTTTCTCAATAATCGCAAAATTGACACCGTGCAACTTTAGACCATTAGAATATTAGCTTATAAAGTTGATCAATGAACATAAATTGGTCTTACAGGTCTCACGAAAAACCATTGGTCTCACGTGAACCAATCATATATATATATATATATATATATATATATATATATATGACGGTAATAAAATGAAAACAATAAATAGATTGAGAATCTGATTGACCTCTTATAAATATCTAATAATATTTAATTTGAGATCTCTAAAAAATCTCATTTTTCATTAATACCATAACTAGTTGTGTACCCGCGCAATGCGGCGGGAGCCATGAATTTTAACGATTTTGAAGTTCCACTGATTTTATAAGATAAGATTTAACGATAATATAGGTTACACTTGGTCTTTACATATTAATACAATTAGAATAAATAAGAGTTATGGTTCCAATTACAGACTATCGATGGAAAAAATTATATGACAATTTAAATCCAATATCATTAAAATCCAACATATTTAAAAGACTCCACAAATGTGTTCGATTTACACCAAGAGGAAAGAACCAAGAAACTTGAGTTTTAAGATAAACACTCAAAACTAATAAAGAAAACTACAAATTTGACAGATCATAAGTCATGAAAAGACCAAAAAAGATGGGTTTTAGAATGAAATTTCAACTGCTTACCCTCTTTCTTGTCAAGAAACTCAGATTAAGGTTGAATTAATACATGTATATATTCATACATATATATATATATACATACATATATATAGAGGAGCGTTCAAATAAAAACTTGACCCATTTGTGTAAACCGTGTAAACCAATCTCATCCTTTCATTTTTTTTTTATCAATGGCTAAGATTACATTACTTTATTTTAGGAAATTAAAAATTAAAAAATAATTAATATTTATTTTATTTCATCAATAAGG